ACAACAAACTTTGGTTTCAGAATATTTGTAAAATTTGATCAAGTACTTGCACAACCACATGGATGGGACTCTGGAGCTGCCGCCTGTGATGTCAGCATCTCATAGAGGCATTGGTTCAAATCCTGGCCGCCTCACTTTTGATCCAGCTCCCTGCTGATGTGTTTGGGCTCATGCAGCTGCTTGGGAGACCTGGAGGAAGCACCTGGCTCCTGGCTTCAGATTGGTTTAGCCCTGACAGTTGTGGCCATCTGGGGAATAAACCAGTGGATGGAAGATCTGACGGTCTCTCCCTCGCTTTCTCTGTAACTCTGATTTGCAAATCAAATCAAATGTTTTTTAAAAACATGTTTCTTGGGAGACTCACAACCCATGTTTGAGTACCTGAGTACATGTCCCAGCTCTGTGCACGACCCCAGCCCCCTGCTAACGGCACTGCGGGCAGCCACAGGTGATGGTGGCTCACGTCCCCGCCCCCGCATGGGAGAGGCAGACTGAGCTTCTGACTCCAGTCTTTGTTCTGGTCAGCCCTGGCATCAAGGCCCTGCAAGCATTAGGGGAGTGATCTTAGCTGGCCTCTGTCCTGTCCTTTAAATCCTCATAATAATAACAAAATAAAAAAAAACCAAAAAATGTGGAACTCTTCAGGTAACGTTTAATGACATTAATCTAATAAAAAAAATCAAGATACTAATTAATGAAAAGGAGGTAAATATTTTTAAATATTTGGCAATTAAGAAACAAATTTTTTGGAAATTCCTAGATCAAAAAGAAAGAAAAAAAAAGAAATTGGAAATAGAATTTAAAGCCACACAGAAAGCAATAAAAGGAGACAGATAAAAAACATCCACTACCAGAATCTACCTTAAAATGCCACCTTTGGGGCACCTGAGATGCCTGCTTCTCACACCAGATCACTGACTCAAGTCCTGGCTGTGTGTGCCAAGTGCAGTCGGGGAAGCAGTGGCCCATGTGCCTGCACCCCTGCCACCTCATGGGAGACATGGCTGGAGCTCCAGGCTCCTGGCTTCAGCCTGGCTCAGCTCTGGTCACTGCAGTCATTTGGGGAATAAACCAGCAGGTGGAATATCTTTATCTCTGCCTTTGTCATTCTGTCTTTCAAAAAAATAAAAAGTTCTGTCATTATTGGAGAAGACAGAAGGAATTTGAGCCAAGTGGCGGTGCATTCTGGGTCAACGGACTCGGCTGAGGACGGAAGACGTGAAGGGCCTTGGGAGTGTCAGGCGCAGGCGCACTCCTGTCACTTGCCACGGTTCCCTACGTGTGAGGTAACTGCTGACACTTCCCACGCCGCATTCGGCACCACAGGTCACCTGGAGAAACTGTAAAGGCTACAGAAGCGCTGTGTGGGGCGATGCAAACACCGTGTCCTGTCCCACACTCCGCCCGCACGGGACTTGTGCACTGCAGGAGTCCTGGAAGTCCAGTTCCCCATGGCTGCTGAGCAACCATTGTGCTAATCTCAGAAACAGAACAATCAAGCCAGCCAGGTAAAGGACATAGAGGATGGCAGATGCAGTCCACAGGATAGTACAAAATAACAAACAGAAACAAGTCCCGAGCTAGTTCTTTGAAAAGAACAAGACTCCCCCTCAAACGTCAGCTGTGCCAAACAAAGACGCAAAGCTGCAGGATCAGCAAGGAGAGACACCCGCACAGGCGCGCCACCGCCATGTAGGAGCATAACGCGACTGTACGGGTTCAAATCCAAAAAAGCTTAGGAGAATCGAATGATTTTTAAAAACCAAATGTACCAAAATTGACCTATGAGGAAATGGAAAACTTGAGTGCTCCCAAGAATGGAGCAGACAGTGGGATGATGATTAAAGGGAAACCGTGAAATGTTCTAGAATCTCAGGGTTTGCAGCCCGTCACCCTTGGAAACCAGGACAGGATGGTTTTGTGACGGAAGCACCGCTAAGCAGAGGAAACGGGGACCGCGCATCCATCTGCTGCATGAAGACGGTGATGCTGCAGAGAACTGCAAACTGCAGACCCCCTGAATATGAGGAGACTCAAAATATCGGCAAAAGGAACCAGGAAATGTATCAGAGGGACTAACGCCTTACGTGCAAAGGGAGTTTATCTTGGGGATTCTGGGTGATTCGGTGTCTGGAAATCTATCAAGCAAAAAGTATCACGGTAAAAGGCAAAGGGAAAAAAAACACCACTACAGCCAAGGCAGAAGAGGCTGAGATGTGGTGGCCATTGCTAATGCCAGTGCAAGTGCTGACAGGATGGTCATGTTCACTGCTGGGAGACACAGGCAAGCCGCGGTAAGCCATGGCTTTGCACCTGTCAGACTGGCAGGAAGTACGGGGAAAGAGCACTTAGACTCCCTCCGCCCTTCCCACTCCATCAGCATTGCGGGCAGGTGGCCTCCAGCACGCCCTCTAAGGACAATTAGCTCCTGGAACCCAAGAGATGTTTAACGTGACACACAGCTGTGGTGTGCACAAAGGCCTGAGAGTATCGGGTGGGGAGGAGGACGTGCAAGGAGACGGAAAATCAGGTGACCACCCATCCATGTATGACTGAAAACATGACAGAACATTTGCATTATATTTCAAAAGCACATTTTAAAAACTGTGCTTGTTATTTCGCAAGCTGAGGAACAGGGACATACACACACACCAGAGTAAACCTCTGGTTCACTCCCCAAAATGCCTGCCATGGCTTGGAAGCCAAAGCTGGGATCCAGGAACCCAATCTCGGTCTCCCGCCTGGGCGCAAGCACTATAATCACTTGAGCCCTCCAGGCCACCAGAGCTGGAGCCTAAAGCCAAATACTCTCATATGGGACATGGGGCACCCTACATGGGGTAGACCAAACACCCACTCATCCACCAAATTATGGTCTGGTGTTTAAGAGAATCAATTAGAGTGATACTGCCCTGGAGGTAACAGTGAGAACAGCAGATTGCAAAATGGTGTGATTGCATTTTTTGTGAAACCAAATGTTATGAAATGAGGCCCGTGCTGTGTGTGTTGGTGTGTGCAAACAAATACCTGGCCATGGTGGACAAAGGCGCAAGGTCACAACCTGGAAGGTAGGATGGACAGAAGGACACGGAGGAGAGCTACAGCCGGGGGTGGGCGTTGGTAAAAGGTGCACTTTAACAAGTCCTGCCTGGGATGGGGCCCTGCAGGATATAACAAAGTCCATTTTCACTTAGCATTCATTGACAAACCTACAAGCTAATTCTAAGGTTTCGAGGGAATTATCCAGCAGCAAGTTCCTTTCTTCTTTATTTGTTCTTCCTGACTGCTTTAATCATTGCCTGGCTGCAGAGCTACGGCTTGGCCAAGCAATTATCGTCAAGACTCTTGCGGAGGCAAGCCGGGGGCCGCCACTCCACTCTGCCTCAACAAGTGCTCGCTGGGACTAATCAAAACTTTCACATAATAACGAATGTCCTTGGTGTTCTGCTTCAGGAGGCAGCCCAGGAGCCGTCCCAACACCCATGGCCAGTGTCCTGGGATGCCAGAGTCCCACTGAGCAGCAAACAGCCAGTCGACGCTGCAGGGCTGGGAATCACCGGCTCGATGAGCAGCTTTCCCTTTCCTGGTGTGTTGGGAACGGCAGAGGCCATGCAAGATGCCACACATCGTGTGCCTGTTCCAAGCCAGCAGCATGTGCATGCCCTGGCATGTCTGGGCAGTTTGTGATCACCTTCCCTGTCCTGTGCCCATGGGTCCCCAGAATGGTGGGGCTGTGTTCCCACTGCGGTGCTAACCGCACTTTGCACCACCTTCCTTGCTCTGGGCGGGGGTACACTGTTCAACATCTGGCTCTTGCTGAGGTCAAGCTAGCAACGGTGGGTTGAGCGCTGGCATTAGTCTAATGATTAAATCCACATTTCTGCCAATTGCACACTGAACCTGTGCAGCTACATGTGGTGAGGAAAAATTCAATCAGGCTTCCAGGTCTCAGTTGAAATTCACAGGATCCTCCCTGACAGCCTTCTCTGGTCTGTTCACATCTCCAGGCCACCTGCTGCAGCCCCACTTAGGGTTGAGGAGCACCCTGCACTCCTATCCCTCATGCAGACACACCTCACCCACCTCGCCAGCTCATCGCCTTCTCCCCATGGCTGGCACCTGTTCCCTCGGAAGGTGCCAGCTGTCTCTCTCCTCCCACTCAAGGCCAGTCTCCCTTGGGGTCGCCAAGGTCCATTCTCTTCCATCTTTCTCTGGGACCCACTTACTCCGACCTGGCTTTCACACCTTTCACACCTGCCATGCCATTGAAACTTCCCCAGAGAGGACTCCTGGGGTGACAATGGCGCTGCACTGGCCTGGATTATCAGTGGCCTCTGTTGGCCCATCTTTGAAACCTCTGCGCTCTGGGCCCCCTTGCTGCTCACTCTCTCTTCGCAGTTTTCTTTATTTCCGCCAAACGCTAAGCGATGGTGACCTCCATCCCTAGGACCTTGGATCAGCCAAGAAGGGCGGAACCTCAGCCCCACCCCAGCCAGGAGGGCTGTACCACAGCCTCACTCGCAACCAGGAGGGCTAAGCTACAGCTGCAGTCACAGCCAGGAGGGCTGAGCCCTATCCCAGTCAGGAGGGCTGAGCCCCATCCCAGCCAGGAGGGCTGAGCCCCATCCCAGCCAGGAGGGCTGTACCACACCCTCACTCGCAACCAAGAGGGCTAAGCTACAGCTGCAGTCACAGCCAGGAGGGCTGAGCCCCATCCCAGCCAGGAGGGCTGAGCTATAGCCATAGCCACAGCTACAGCTAGGAAGGCTGGGGTTATGTGGAGGGGGGGTAGATTTGTGGTGTTCTCTCTGCCTGGGGAAGCAGGGACTTGCTGCAGGTGTAGGGTTGTCTGCGATGCACTTCCCTGATTGAGCGAGTGAGTGCAGAGGCTGCATTTGATTGCGGATGCCGTGCTAGGCTGCTAGGCTTGGTATTTGTCATTGGTGATGGTTCTAGAATTTAAGGAACGCCAAGCAACCAGAAGAACACAAACAAGTCTGGGAGGTCAACAGCACATTTTATTCCACAGGAAGAGGAATGACAACTCTGGGGTAAGGCCCGGATGGAGGAGCCGTAACACCCTGGGGACAATGACAGTCACTCCCCACAATCTTGCCCAGCAGTGACGACTGTTATTTTGAGGCACAGAAGATTCTCAAGACACAGGGGTGAGCAGCCCCTGCAGCAAGGCGCTTGGCCAGAGCAGAGGCCACCGCCTGTCCTTGGCTGCAAGTGTGAGGACCCCGGGCTTGTCGGCAAGGAGAGACAGTGATTGGGCCAACTGTGCTGGGCCAGGGAACTCTCCAAGGGACAGCTTCCCATGGCCCCTCACTCCATTCACTTCACCATCCTTGGAGAGGAATGGCGGATTTGTGGCAGCGAGAAAGCTGGTAGAAATTGTCCTAGAATGGTCTCAGACAGCACTGGTTAGAGAGAGACGGGCATTCCGGGCACCAGGGGCAAGACCTGCTCCTCCCAGGGACTTGGGCGAAGCAGAAAGCTGCGTCACAAGCCCCTGAAACCTTAGCCCGGCCTGGGAGGAAGGAGGAGGCAGTTTTTGGAGCCTCCCAGTTGGCCCTCCCAACACCCTACCGCCCCACCCCACTTGGTCTTTGGATCCCATTTTCACATCTGTCTCTTTTAAGGCGCAAATGTCAAAGGGAGTGGTTGTGCAATCTGGGGAGATGGGCGACTATTTAAAGAGCTGATGGAAATCAGAAGAGGCCAGGAGGAGGCCTGTGGAGTGCCAGCCCCCTGGGCAGCCCTCGGCAGCCAACTTCCTGCAGTCAGTAGGGACGCTGAGCTCTTTAATCCAAAAAAAGAATTTCAAGTGACCTTTTCCAGGAAGTGACACAAGGCTCACTGGCGAACACCACCAACTCTCTGAGAGTCTCATCTTTAGTGGGTACTGATGACAAAAACCACGAACCAACTTGGGGGGGGGGTGCGGGGGGCAGATGTAGGCGCAGAGGAAGAGCGGGAGGAGTCAGGCCTTGGCTCTTGGGCATGCGCACACGGCATCCCAACCGCCCCGCCCAACACAAAGCCCGCCAAAGGAAGCTGAACTCTGCGACCTGCAAGCCCCTTGTAGCCTAACGCTTGGAGCTCAGGAGGAGGGAGCTTTCCACCAGCACTGAGCTGAGCAGCAGTGAATGCACAGAGAGGAAGAGGGAGGTGCGTGCGAACAAGAGAACCAACTTCCTGGGTCCCGGAAGCACCTGGGTTATGTGTCAGAAATTCCCAAACCTTTGGCACCACTGCCAAGTCACCCCGCACCTCAGCTCCACACGGCAAGACTCTAGAAACTGATTAGCTTTATTAAAATAAAAATGTTAAAATCACAAGGTGGCTTATTCATTCTGGAATGAGCCCCCCCTTCCCCATTTATTTCTCACAGAAAAGGAAAAATAGCAAAAAGAAGGCCCGAGGAGCAGGGGGCACTGGGGCTGGCTGGATTCTGACACCTCCGCCAAAGCAGGCTCCCATGAGGAGCTCACAGAACGGCCCTTTACCACTGCGTCACTAACCCCTCTGTCCTCTGTTGCTGTGAGGCCGGGAGGCTGTCAAGCCAGGAGAGCCCAGGACTTGCTCCTGAGCTGCTGGGCTTCAGAGGGACATTGTGCTCATTGCAACTGTGACTTTGCACAACAAGCAATGGGATTTTTCTTCTTTTAAGACAAAAGAGCTTACCAACGTTTGAAACACCTGCCAATGGCCATTAAAGCAACCCAAAACACACTCAGGGAGACTGCTTAGGAGAGAGCCAAACAGATTGCAATATGATCTGTGAGCAGCTAAGGGGGAATGTGTGGGGAGGGCAAGGAAGAGTGGGCACCCATGCTTCCCCTGCACACCCAAGGCCAGCTCTGCTTCTGGGGTCCCAGCTTGTCCCTCGGGCCTGGATGGCATGGGCTGCCCAGACATCAGGCTGGCACCGGGTCTCCCACCACCTGTTTCCCACGCTTCCTTTAGTCTGTAAAAGCTCAGTATGGTCCTGTTCCCCCTCCTGAGGATGCCTTTCTATAGAGTACCCTGAATTAGCTGTGTACGATTAGTGCAATAGAAGGTCCAACAGAATTTTATATGACTATACATTGAACACACCTTCCCACAGGTCACAGGGCCCCTTCTGAGATGTTCCTATCTATTTACAAACAAGTGCTTGTACATATATACAAGTCAACAAAATACAGGGCAGTCTCAGCATTAGATTCATCTCAGTACTTTCTTTATGTTATTCACTCAATAGTGTTTAAAAAATTACTTCCCCATCATCTAACGTCACGCCAAGTGGCACAGGTGAGCAGGGCTTCCACTCACACCTCCCGTGAGGTTCTCCTCTCCCTGGGCTTTGAGCCGGGCTGGCCTGGCCATGGCTGCAGCATCGCTCCTCCACGGCCGCGTGCTCAGGCGTCCAGCTCCAGGTGCTCCTGGTTCTCACTGAGCCTCAGCATGAGCTGCTGCTCGTAGTAAAGGCTCTTTGCATAGTTGATCTCCTGCGACAGCTTGACGGCAAGGGCCTCGGATTTCACATGGACCTGCAGAGGACAGCACAGTGAGTGTCCCTGGGAAACGCCTGGGGATACAGAGGACATGGGCGGTTGACCCACGCCCAGCTGTGACCCAGGAGCACACTAGAACCATGTGGCATTCTTCATTCCCAGGGCCTGCTCTTAGGTTAATTCTGAGATTCTGGGCGGATCGCTGGAATCTTTTAAAAGTCATTTCCCAGGAGGCGATGCTGCTGGCCCAGGAGGAATACAGCTCAGCAAAGGCCTTCCTAAGGGCAGTGGGTGGAGAGGAGGCCAGGCAATGCCATCCACCAAGAAAGGGAGCCTGTGAAAAGCTAACATCTGGGCTGCTTATGACACTGGGTCAGGGACCCCAGAGAGCCTGGGCAAAGCCACCCGGATCCGAGCAAGTGCTGAGCAGAGAGAAGGAGACAGGCTGCCATCTGCTATGTTTACCCACAGAAGGACAAGACTAAGCAGTCCTCAGAACCCTGGCACCGAGGGGAGGATGGGCGGGACTAACACCTGGCTGTCCCATGAGACATCAAGTCCAACTTGCTTGCCATCAGCAGCTTCCCCACACCTGTTCTGTGTTCCAGCCAGCCGGTTCTGCAGTCGGATCACTGACTCTGGTTGCTGTGTGGACCTGAGGGAGTCCACCTGCCTCACCATTTCACTCCTTGCCAGTCAAGTGGGGACGAGAAGAGAAGCAGTCAAGCCCTGGGAAGCACTCGGGGTCCACCTGGCACACAGCAGGCCCCTGGCAAACACTAGTTATGCACAGAAACTCTTGTCACCCACGTTGCTCCTGCCTGTGGGGAATAGGTGTTCTCTGTATTTAGATATATGCTAGACGTGCTTCTCTGCACAGAATAGGAAGTCATGGTTTCTACAGTGACAGAAGCGGAGAAGCCTGAGAGTGATCTCTCATCTTGGGTTCCACACATGGAATCACAGAGCGACATTTCAGGAAAGAAGATGCCCTGTGTATTGCGCCAGCCGTCCCCGACAGTCAGCTAGAGGAAACATTGCCGCTTCACTGTCTCCAGGAGCGATGGAGGTGCAGTGGTGGGGAACTCACCAGGGCCATTTGTGGGGCAGCTGGGAGGGGCGCAGGACAGAGGGCGGCAGAGCCTTCCACCTCCCCAGCCTCATGCACCTGCCTGGGGAGGATGGCTGGGTGGGAACTCACCATCGGCTTCTGGTGGGACGGCCCCGGGATGGACACGCCACTGCTCGAGTTCACTGCTTTCTTGGTCACCTGCACATACACCTTCCCGTGGTCTTTGGAGACAAGGCAGTGGTAGAGGTCATCGTACTTGACTTCTAGGAAAATGGCCTCTCTGTCCACGTAGTCCCCGCTCTTCAGGAAGTACACCGCCTTGGAGGAGATGAGCACGCAGTAGCTGTCTGTGTTCTCCACGGCTATGAAGCTGCCAAGGAACAGACGAGAATGCGGCAATGTTCAGCGGCTGGATGACTCCTCAGAACAGAGCCGGCAGGCAGGGATGGAGGCCCATGGAGCACTGGGGTCTGAAGGTCTGAGCTTGCAGCAGATCCTTCATCATGTTAGGACTAAGAGTGACTCTTGCTTCAAGGGAGCGTGGGGAGGATCGAGTATACAGCACACACCCCCCTCCATCCGGGCACTCAGTGTAGCTAGGGCTGATCCCACACAACAGCCCCAACTACTGCACATTCTGGATATTCATTCTATGGGGTGTGCTTCTGGTGAGCATTTCTGGATAGCAAAAGGTTAGCGAAAACCCAACAAGGCTTTCTGTGACAAAGAGAACACAGTGCCTTCAAATGTTAAACTGACACAGCCGTCGGGGAAGCTCACCACCCAGCGTGGCTGAGGAACCACCGAGACACTGGATGACAGTCAAGGGGAGACAGGTTTGCCAACATGCCAGCCAGGGCAGCTGGCATGGCACTGTAGTGTGTGTACCCCTGCCTGGGTCTGCTTCCTTCCTCACTGCTCTAAGTGAGGGCACCCAGGTTCTGGACACATCCAGGGCCAGGGGACTCATGGGGCTGTTCCACATCCAGATAATTTGGAAAAGCTGTAGTCTTCTTCATTTTTCTGAACTCTTAGCCTGGAGAGTTCCCCTGCATGGAGCTCACAGATCACAGCAGCAATGTAAGCAGGTCAAACCTCCCCGAGGAGGAGGAGGCTTGGCCACCGAGTAAAGAGGAGTGAACTCTGGAAACCGCAGTGGCTGCTCCCCCACCCAGCCTGGCGGCCTCCCTGCATCTTGTGACAGCCTTTCACAATGGGGCTGCGGTCTCAAGGGACAGTGAGAAAGAAAGTGGATGACAGCCAGAATACTAAGAGCTGATGAGAGACTGGCTGCCAAGCTCCGGTTTCTAAACTGCCACTGCCCCACCTGCAACTGTTCTGGAACCTGGGTCCAAGGCAGCTTTGCTCCTGGGTCAGTGGTTGCAAATCCTTCAAGAAGAGGCAGAAAAAGGAGCCCAGCATGCCCTGGAGAAGGCCTGCCTGTGTGGGGCCAAGCTGAGCATGCTCTGGGCATCACGGGCAGAGCCTCATTCAGAATACATCTCCCACTCCCTAGCTCTCTGCTTGCCTGGGGATTGACAAGTTCCAACTTGTCCTGGAAATTCCCCTTGCCCTCTAGCCCCTTCCTGCTTGTGACAGCGTCACTGCACTGACCTCCCAGGACACTCCTAATGCTGCTTGTTCTTCAGTGTCTTCTGAGTAAGTATCTCAGCTCTCTGACTCTTACTGCCAGAAGCCCTGTAAGTGTGGGCCACACGTGTATCTGTGTCTCCCAGAACAGCACTGAGTGGGCCACCCCACAAGCACTCAGTAAGCATCAGCCTGTGCCAGTTGCCATTTTAACCACAATTTCCCAGGACATAACTGGGGTTTATTTTTCAGTCCTAAGCAGTTGGCAAAGCTGAGAACACAGACTTGTTAAGTGCCAAAAACAGAAATACCCAGTGGCTTGCAGTGTTAGGGCCTCAGCATGGGCTTTCTGATGGCCCACGCGGATGGCACGGGGACAGCATCACCACTGAATCACACTGAGTGAGATCTACGACAGTGGGCCTTGGGGTGGGCTTTGTGGCACGATGGGCTAAGCTGCCATTCTGGATGCTCACATCCCATACTGGAGTGCTGGCCAAGCCCCTTCTGCTCTGCTTCCAATCCAGCTCCCTGCTAATGCTCCTGGCATGCAGATGATAGCTCAAGAACGTGGCCCCTTGCCACCCACACGGGAGACCCTGCTAAGAATTTCTGGCTCCTGGTTTTGGCCTGGCCTAGCCCCAGCTGTTAGAGACATTTGGGGAGTGCCCAGGGGATGCAAAATCTCTTGTTACTCTGCACTTCAAATAGATTAAAATAAATAAATATGTTAAAAATGAACATGAGAAAGCATCCCAACTATCAAAGTATCAGGTTTTCAAGTTAGAATTGGTTGGAAAACTGGCTATGCTCCTGAGCACAGCTGGGCCAAGCAAGTGGTTACTGAGGCTGTGATGGGTTCCCAGGAGGTTCTGAAGTTGGTCATAGCACCTGGGTGACAGATGACTGACAGTGGACTGAGGTTAGATCCCCCCCTCCCCGCTAGCTGAGCCCAGGAAAGGGCCCTTCCTTTCTCAGGCCCCAGCCCCCCAACCAGCCTGCTGGGCCCTGCTGCAGTTGACATTACGCACAACTCGTGGGAAGGGTCAGGCCTTCCGTGGGGGCCAGTGGGTATACTTCCAACTTTGTGATAGGTTTATAGCTTTTAAAGTGTTCATTTCCCAGGTGCCATAGGGACACAAATCCCCCTGCAGGACAGGAACTTTCTGGAAGAAAAGTGGCTCTGAGCTGCAAGGTTCCCCTGAAAGGCAGGCAAAGCCCACGGCAGGCAGCTCAGGCGACTGGGCAGCTTTCCCTGCAGCTCGGCTTCCTTCGCAGTCAGTGTGAAGCCTAGGGTAGCTCACAGCCAGGAATTTGTTAAGTAGCCCTGCAGATTCTGCAGATCTCCTCACCAGCACCAGCACATTCTGAATGTTCACACCAAAGGTACCACTCCATCTCTCCTACCTCCTGTATCAAGTCTCATCACTCAGCAGCACTGCTGTATTGTCAACTTCCGTTTTTTTTTTTTAACAAAATATGGAGACCTCGGCAAAGAAAAACTAAAACAGTTCCAGGCTGTTCCCCTTGTTAGCTGGAGAGCACTCTGCAACCTGCCCCAGGTGAGCAGAGAAACCTGCCTTGCTGAGCACCTGCAGCCTCTCTGGGACTTCCCCCTCAGTGGCCTGCAACCCATCAAGGCTACATACAGGGCTCCCCTCTCCCTCCTGGCTGCCCACAGCAGCCTCACCCCTAGGCTCTCAGCTACACAGTAGAGCACGCATCCTCTAGTTCAGTGTGGAGCCCCAGACTGTTTCCACTTTGTACCTCAATGGCCAGGTCTACATGAGAAGTGAGTCCTGGGAACCTGGAGGGATGGCACATGGGACGCCCCCACCAGTGTGTCTCAGTGGACTTGGAACATAGTCCTGTTCTGATTTAGTCTTAACTCAGGGGAGGAGTGGGAAAGGACATGGGCCCCTGGGGAGTTTTAGCTTGCGAGATGAGCAGGAGTGCTGGGAAGGCTGCCCAGGTCTCCCACCACTCAGTTTAGGTTGCTGGAGACACATCCATTGATTCTACCAGAAAGAAAGATTTTGTACAATCTAAAAACTTCAATGAGAAGCTTCAGTTTTAACTCTCATCAAGTTTCTTCTGAGTCAAAGCAGCAGCACCTGGTCAGCACCCTCTCCCAAGATGGGCACAGTGCCCATAGCATGGAATAGACGCACCACGATGAGCACTGCCCATGAGTCTTAGCAGCTCGTGCAAACCTCACAGGTCCTCTCATGCCACGTCACGTCACATGGCAGACCTGCTTTTGGGACCAGCACCCTGGGGCCACGTGGCTCTGCTTCTCACTTGCCTTTGCATAGAACTTTGCTGCCCTGCTCTGTGTAACAATGTTCAGGCTGCAGGAGGGACCACAGCAGAAGGGAGAGCCTTGTGGGAGGCAGCTCTCTCCTGCTGGGGTCAGGGGCCGGACTAGCCCAGCCTATGGAGAGACGCCTCCAGATAAATGCCCATGCCTTCTCTCAGTAGGGTGAGGACCGGGCGCCCCAGTTACTAGCCCACATGGAATTCCTGGAGAGAGAAATCTGCTAGGTAACTTCCAGTTGCCCTCTGTGCATTTCTTTCTTAGCTCTATATTTATACATTGTACTCTCTTCCCTTCTCATCAATTCAGAATCAGAACCATCTGAGTCATCTTGCTCCAGCAGCACTTCCCAAATAGGCTCCTCTCTGCCAGGGTACCTGGCGTGGTCCGGAGTATGGGCCTTGCAGACCATCCCTCTGTGTGTGCCCAAGCAGGGTAACCCAGGGCCTCCACAGCTGAGCTGCCTGGTCCTCCCTTAGCCCTCTGCTCTCCACTATAGCACCACGCTCAAACCTTCTCAATCTGCTCCTCATCCAGATTCCAATGGCTCTACCTTTTAAGCCCTCTTCACCCTGGCCTGCCTCCATCTCCACTGCCATTATGTCTTCAGGCCTTTCTAGCTCTTTCTGAACCACTCCACGGGGCTCCTGCCTCCCTGGGTGACTGGCTCTTGGTGGCCAGCAAAAGCACATCTTCATGTGCCATATAGGTTGGATTCTCTTTTTCACAGTCTCAGAGGAGGCCTGTAGGAACAGCAAGCTCCTTGGTGTGAACTGCATGTGCCAGGCCTTCACAGTCAGCCTGGGCTGCCTCTCTGTGCTTTGCTGCACCTGCTCCTCCCACACAGGTGCTGCTGCCCACATGCCTTACTTTGCTGGGCACGCCACCAGCAATTCTACCCAGGCCTCTGCCTTCTCTCCGTGGCATATTCCTCTACCACCTGCAAGATTAAGTTTGCTGCCCACAGCCTTCCTGAGAAGCCTTCCCTGGTCCTCTGGGCATGAATGAATCCTTCCCCTCTGTGTTCCCATAGCACTTGGGTCATCCTTCCATCCCAACAGCAATCATGCCAAGAGCTAGTGATGCATAGTCTGCTTTCTTTGCTAAACTGTGAACTGGCTGAAGACAGAGCTGGCACACAGCAGGGGGAATGAATGTGTAGCTTAGGGACTCTAAGACAATGCTGGTTTGGTAAAACTGGCCAGCACACAGGCAACTTGCACACTGGGCAAGTTTTCCCCAGTAGAGAAGAATCCCCCAGGCGCCGGCCTTGTGGGGCAGTGAGGTCAGGCCTCTGCCTGTGATAACAACATCTTATATGAGCACTGGCTGAATCCCAGATGGCCAATTTCTGATCCAGCGACCTACTAAAACCCCTGGGAAGGTGACAGGGGAGGGCTCAAATACTTGGGCTCCTACATTCACAGGGGGAGACCTAGATGGAGTTCCAGATTCCTGGTTTTGACCATTTTTGTAGCCATTTTTGAGTGAAGAAGTGGATAGATCTCTGTCTCTTCATCTCTCTCCCTCTCTGTATCTCTGCCTTTAAAACAAATCTTTTATAAAATCCTCTCAATAAATCCTCCATTAAACTTCTAACTTAATTTATTATTAGCGATTTAGGAAGTCATTACTTGTATCATAGTAGCTGGCTAATCTGCAAAGTAGAAGTTTTAATTCAGTAGCATATCAGAGAATATCCAGATTCCTAAGTATCAATAGCTATTGATAGGTTATTTCTGGCTTCCGAAAATAGAAACTAATGATTCTATGGCACTCCTCAAAAGGACTGTCTTGTCTTTGTTCTGAGATGGTGTATTTATCATATGGTTTATATCTATAGTTATATGTTATTCAAATCAATACTACAACAGGTGCTCAAAAACAGATTTCTGTCTTTTTATACAACTTCTCAAAAAAGAACAGACAAGATGTGAAGTGCCTTCAGTATACTTACAGAAGTGACAAGAAAGGAGACTTTTCCTCTTCACTTTTTTCTGTATTTTTGAGTAAACTGACCATGTGCATGAAACTGATTTCATTAAAAAGAGAAAGGACTTACTGGCTAATGGGTTTAGAAGCTAACACTGCTTTGTTTTTAAATACTCTTCAGTCTTTAAAAATCTCATCAATGCTATTTTCTTCATAGTTGGTAACAGGAACCCATGACCCAACTCCAGAAACCAGCAGCTGGAGCAGCTTGGGGTCACGGGGCAGCTTGGGAGCTTCCTTGTCAGAGAGAAAGAGCCAACCCAGCACTCCAAGCCCCAGATGTGCCCTTGTCTGACAGGGAATGTCACAAACAAAGTAGAAAGTTTGTGCAAAATACAAAAATGAAGTTTCTGACTATAAGTTAGGCACCACTGGACAAAAAAGCCTAATTTCATCACATAGTACTAACTACTTTTACTTTATCATCTTAACCAAGAATTTTGTTTATAACCAAAATTCACAGAAATGGGGCACAATGGTAATTCTGCAACTTGTCAGAGAGGAAATGATGAGTTTGAAACTGAAGCCTCTTTAGCCCACCAGACCTTAAGTAACATGCCAGTAACCATCTTTTTTTAAATACCAATTAACTGAATAAAATGAAAAACTTAAATGCAGTTCGCTCTGGGGGAGTGGAGTAGGAGCTGCTTCCACATGAGGACTTGGTGGGGCTTTCACTGCATCAGGAAGTAATTACACAGTATTGTCCAGAAGTGAAACCATGAGTCCAACTGGAAAGAAATGTGGAAGCATTTAGTTAGAACAGTAGAGCAAGGTATTCAAGATTCTTTTAAGGGGTTAACTCTGCAGGGAAATATGCAAATAATTAAGCCTTTGAACATGTTTTTAATTACAAATCTAGGATAAAAGTCAAAGGTATAATTTGGTGCTCATGTGCTTTTCCTGAAAACCCCTTCCTTACAAAGCAATGACTGCACCATGCGCATTGCTTGAGGATGCAGGCTGACGGGCTGAGGAGACTCAGAGAAGCACTTGCTGGTTCCTGGTCCCCTCTTGGCTTCCTCCTTGCGCACACCCATGGTCATGTGCCTCCTTCAACAGTTTCTGGCAAGAGTTAACCAACAATTTGGGCGGAGACACATGGTTTTCATCTTTAAAGTCAAAATTCACTCATCCTGATTTCTGAGTTCATGTGAACTCCAGCGATGTGGATTTTGACTGTTCTCACGTGCACTCCACTCTGTGCTTCTTCTCTGTCTTCCACGGCACACGCCAAGCCACTCTGCACGACCTCCCCTTAGGGTTTTCTGGCCTGATGTTCATTCTACTGCAAATGAACTTTACAAGGACCAGACGCTGGTTTGACTTGAGTGGAGAGGAGGTGTTGGGGAGAAAAAAGCAGATCACATAAGAACACATAATCTAAATCTCTAATCCACACCTCGTGACTGAAAGACAGACAAGTGCTCATAGAGGTACAAACCTGCAGCTACCCAGCTACATTGATCAAGGGCTTACTATACCTGAGCTGCTGTTCCAGGTGCTGAGGATTTTTTTTCATAAATTGGAGACAAAAACCCCAACCCTTCAGAGGCTGCTATTCTAATGGACTTGGCTCCAAGGAATGACTTTCCAGGTCTCTGATCCAAGGATGGAAAGTTCCTCCAGCAAAGAAGTACAATGGTCAGTCCTAGTACCAGATGCTTACCCCAAGAGAGGCAGGAATATAATGACTTTCCCTTCTCCTGGAGTGAAACTGCTGGGGATTCTAACTAGGAGAGCGAGGACTGCAGCTACAGTAAGAGCAGAACCAGCAATGACACATGCTAAGGCATGAACTGTGCCCTTCCTCAAATTCAGATGTTGGGACCCTGAGCCCTACATGACCACTGGGAGTGAGGAAGTCATATGATTAAATGAGGTCCTAAGGTTGGGTCCCTGATCCAACAAGTTAGTGTCCTTACAAAAGACACTACATTGCTTTTTCTCTCAGTTATGGTGAGAAAAAGCACTCCCCAGCACTAGAATCAACCAGTATTCTAATTCTGGGCTTCCCAGGGCCCAACAGATGTTTTCAAGATAACCAAAGCAGACTGAGAGAATCAACCTGTCAAGAGACATGCAAGAGTGTCCCAAGGGTGGGGGTGGGTCAGCTGCAAGGACCCTTATAGGACGATGTAGGACACACACTGTGGGTTCAGTCTCAACCTTTGCATTCAATCATGGCTGCAAGAACAGGAGATGATGTTTAGCAGCACTGGCTCTAATGGTGACACTGGAGACTAACCGGAAATTATCCACACCAGGCACTCTATTCTGAACACGTACGTGCAGCTCTCAAAACTGTTCCCCTCCCTGGTGTGTTAGCTTTACATGCGGCAAATAGCCAGTAAAAAAACTGAACTAGGCATTTTGTTACTCATCAGCTATAACCAACTGCTTTTCCGTACAGATGGGTCTAGTACCTTTGCAGGTTATAGAGCATTTTATGTTACATGGGCCTCTGCAGAATACTCTAAAACAGCAATGTTCAATTATACCAGGTTAAGCATGTGCAACCTTGCTAACTGGACTCACGAGCATGATAAGACTCTAGATGTACAAGACTCCATAGTTAAAGAAGTACAACAAACATTCTTAAGGAAATTGCATTTCTAAAATGTTCAGCTACTAGTCTTGTTATTTATCTGTTTTCTTTTGTGGCATTCTGCAGCAAACAGCAGGAGACTAAAGTTTAAGAAAATTTTAGAAAGGGAAGAAACTGTTAAAATTGAGAACATTATGGTCACTAGCTTCTCTCTTGGAATTAACAGGAAAGAAACTGCCATTTTCTGGAAACAAGATACTTAGGCCCAACTATCAAATGGTGGGAACTGCTGAGTAAGGGCTGTTGACAAGCAGCTGTGCCTACACCTACAGAATCCTTGGTGTGAGGGGTCCTTTGAGCGTCTCTGAGCTCAAAGGCAGGGTGATGCTGGGACACAAGAAAAGAGGACTGAGCACACAACGGGTTGCTTTCCTTGAGCTCCCACTTACAATTCATCCTGGATGTTGTCTGTTAGTTTGAAGAGCTGCTCCTGCCCTTCTGCTTGGCTCTCGGAGTAGCGGGGGAGCAGCCCCTGGGGCCCTGTGCAGCAGCGTGGCTTCCGAACCCTCTGTGCTTGAGTCCTACATGGGGAAAAGAGGCAAAAATGAAGAGGTTAGATGTTGAGGTTGACATGACCTCACAACTCAATACAAGACACATTGGAGGTGAGTGACCAGAGTTGAATGGTGGTACTGCTCAGGAATATGCTGTCAGGTGGTGGCTGGTGTGTATCCTGCCTCCACTGTTTCCAGCTCTGATCATGGGTGAGTTCACTTCCTTAAGGCTCAATTTTAGCTTCCTCTGTCAGACAGGAAGGGGAAGAGGATGACAGTGACCTCACGCGACTGCTGTAAAGACCAAATAAGACAGTGACCGTCAAGCTTGTGCTCAGTCACAGATGGGCCACTCCCTGCGTGGCCCTGACTACAGAGCTCAGCCCCCACGGAGTCTTTAGTGCCTCTGCAGAGCCATCTCTGAGCTTGCAACGGGACAGGAAGAAGGCTGACACTTTGTGAGAACACACCAAACCACCAGACTTCTAAGACGCTCTTGGCCAGGTGAGGCGTGAGGGACTGGAGGAGGAAGAAAGGCCCCAGGTCCCCATCACCGGACAGTCTGGGCTCTGCAGCAGCTCCGCCCTTGCCACTCAGCTGTCAGCAGCCCAAAGGAATCTGCTTTGCTATGGCTTTCAGGGTAGGCTCATGTTGTCTTTTTCCACAAGCCATGTGCAGGGTAATTGATAAGTACTTTTTGGTGTTTTCCTAGAAACAGGAGTCCATATTTGTCTTGGAAAGGCTATGCATATTTCAGATGACTGATAAGAGTGTGCTGGGTCTGTCCTCGGCCTTGTACTTGCTGTACTTTTTATTACTTGTTCCTGGAACCCACTGAAGCAAAACAACCCTCTCTAGACATATCTGAAAGAAATAGGCTTAAGACACTGAACCTGTCTTCAGAACTATGCACTAACAGCAATGGGGCGACTGGCTTACTAGGCACACTGGGATAGCAACAGGAACAGAAACAATGAGACACTGGCCACAGGCCAGGCACAGTCCACTGCAACCCAGCACAACTGCAAAGCCCGAACTCAGGACAGTACCCAGCTCACAGACCCTGACCTTGGAGAGACAGCCCCATATTTGGGTAATGGTTGAGGTGTGCTGGAGAAGCCCCAAACCAGTGATAATTTCTCAAAAGTTGATTCCACAGATGCTCTGAATATTATCACTTGTGCTGTTCAATGGTGACATGAAGAGAGTATTTTCAGTGATTTGCACAAAGGGAATGGGTATAAAATACATGTGTGTGTGTATTTATATATACACACATACATATCCTTGCACACTTCCATTGTGTCTGGTTGCAATTCTTCTTTTAAGAGATCCAGACCTAATGTTGGCTATTTAGATCTGCTATTGAATGAAAGTAATGGGGGTGGTATAGAGCCACTGCCAGCCCACTGGAGCAGCAGCTTGACAAATGCTCTTTGAAGAATGACAACAAATCATGGCAAGCAAGGGAAGCCAAGGGGAAGGAGCCCTGGCCTCGTCTCCTTGCCTAGTGATGCCTGCTGCTGTTTCAGAAATGCCTAGACAGGCTAATCTCCTCTGCCCAAGGCAGCCCTGCTCACTCAGCCCACGAGATTGCCCGCAAGGGGAACATGGCAAGGCTTGCTTCCTTTCAATACCAGGTTTGATTCTGACTTCTCAGCACATCTCCACAACCTACTGGGAGGCCTATAGGTTCAACTTCAATATACATCCCAGATCCAACTTTTTCTTTCTTTCCCTACCTTAACTAGCAAATGATGGCTGGATCTGCACAGCATTATTACACTAGCCTCAACAGCCTCTAAACTCGCTCTCTCTACTTCTATCCTTACTCAAGTTTCTCATGGCAATGAGCATGGCTCTGGGAGAACAGAAATTAGATTGAATTGCTCATCTGCTTAAAACACCTTTGTTTCACATTTTACTTAGATGAATTTTTTACTTATTTTTAGCTCCCTATTTGGAATAGAGGCTGGCATCTAGAATAGCATATGGTTTATGGGAAAGAAGCTGTCTGTATTAATACAAGGAGTAAATGCATTTGTGGGTGGGGGTTGGTACAAGAGTCCTGTTCTATATTACAAAGGAATGGTGATATGCAAACTTTAGTGGACAGTAAATAAGATTCTGAGCTTTCCAAGTCAGTAGTCAAGAGTAAGGCAAAACGCGAACCAAGCAGAATTCCCTTTTCCTGACAGAAAGCTCAGGGTGTCTGCCTAGTCTGTGGATATTAACATTTCTGTGAACACTTAGTTTTTTTCCTTATAAAAAATCATTTCTTTGGTAAACAAAGCTGAGAAAAAAGTCTGCTATCATGTAGGAGGAAACTTACATACACAGAGTCCTAAGTTCCTCTAGCACAGTGCAAGGAAGCCAGAGACGCCAAGAAAAGGGACTTATTTCTGGAACAGAGCTCCTGGAAATCACATTCCATAACAAAGAAGGAATGGCTGGGAAGGTAAGTAAACTGCCTTGTATTATTACATGGTCAAGGAGCTCTTCAGCACAAACAGTTACTTCCTGACTCAGCGGCCTCCCTCGGGGCCTTCTCCAGAGTTCAGTGATTCAACCTCATGTGCACTCCCAATACATCATCTGAAACTTGCAAACTTCAGGCCTACCAAAGTATCAATGAAAAGCCAAGCAGAGCAGCTCCCTTGTGTAACACTGACTCCCAGGTTTCTTCTCTTATCTATCTCCCCATCTCCAAGGTTCTCACTTGTGGTCAACCAAACATCAAGAGCAAAGTTAGTTACCAGCGTTGGATCCTAGTGCAGAAGCTCATGGTGGCATTCAGACTCACTGTGCACACCAACACAGAGGAAGGGAGGGCAAAATGTGACCTGTGTGATACAGTCTTGTAAACACAGGGACTACTTACAGGAGTGACTTTCACATGCTCTTAGTGAGAGCAAAAAGCTGAATTCAAGAATTCTTTCCATATTCTATTTCTTTAACATGTCAATGCCTGAAAAGCAATTCGTTCTTCTCTGAAACTCAACTCTAGTGTAAACTCCTTAAATTTAAACTGATAGACTGTAGTCGAGGGTGCGGGAAGATGGTGCTTAAAGCCACTTGTGCCAAAAACTCAATCCCAGATTTAATCAAATAATAATTGGGGATGATGTTATGGTTTAATGTGAGAAGCCACTGCTTGTGATGTTGGCATACCACACAGGCAGGAATGCCTGGTTTAAGTCTTGGTTACTCTGCTTCCAATCGAGCTTCCTGCTAACGTGCCTGGGAAGGCAGCAGAAGGCGGCTCAAGCACACTTGCATCTCTGTCGCCTGAGTGAGAGACCCAGGTGGAGCTTCTGGTGCCTTGTTTTCTCCTATCTCAGCTCTGGCTGCGGCAGGCATTTGAAAAGTCAACTAGCAAATAGGAAATCTCTCTCACATTCTCCATTATTTTGCCTTCCAAATTAAAAAAATAATAATAAAGTAAATCTTCCTAAAAGGAAAGAAAAAAGTATAAATCACAACAATTAGCTAGTGTTTCCAAGCCCTGTAAGCCAGTCAAGTTCAAAGTGAGGTTCCTTAGGCCAGATGCTGGGAGATGCTGTGTTTTCTGCATATGGTGAGGTAACACTATAAATTCAGATTATCCTTTGAAACTAGTTTTACTCCAGTTACAACAGTCCTAACCTGGTCGCCCTCCACAATTCAGGGGTGTGGTGTGTCCAGTTCTGAGCTCTCATTCCTGAGTCACTTTTGAGCATTTCCCAGTGAACCCATCAACACCAGCAGGCACAGGACTCCACTCCTGCTTTGGTTTGTTTGTTTTGTAAACATCGGGCATTACAGCTGGACACGCCACTTATTCTCAGTCTGGAGCTCACAGATACGATCACTGTTTCTTTGACACAACACAAATAAGCCCCTGATGCACCCTTCCCACCACACAGCTCCCACACTGACTACGACATCCGTGTGTCCCCCTGTAGCCCGGTCCCCAGTTCCCCAGTCACTCTTCCCCCCAAGGCAGCTGAGACTCTGACCCTTATGTTTATCGTTCCCTTGTTCTTCTTTCAAAGGAGTTTTATTTATTTTAGAGTATGCTTCAATATGTTCTTGTTATAGTCTCTGGTTTCAGCTACTGGGGGATGTCACTGCTAAGATTTGGCCATTCCTCTGTGTGCAGTTAAAATTCCGTTATCATGTCTGCTGCATTAGTAACCCATTGTAGGTCTAATCCATGATTTAGCCACCTTCCTACAGATGGCACATGGGTCATGCCCCGGCTTTGTGATTACAGATGCTGCTGTTATGAACAGAACGTTCCTATACACACCTTCTAGTGAACTCTGAGTACACTTCTGGAAGGTTAACTCCAAGATCCCGGGGGACATTCATATATCAAGACAATTCAAGCTATTTTCAAAGCAGCTGAACTCTATTTATATTTCCATCCACAATGTATTTGTAAGGGACCAGCAACTCAGCCACCTGCAACTTAAAATGCAGTTGCTATAGCTACAGAACAGACCTATGTTTCTTAAATTTTTATTTATTGGAGAGAGAGGGAGGGGGGAGGAAGGAGAGAGAGGCAGGGAAGGAGGGAAGGAGAGGAAGGGGAGGGGGAAGGAAGGAGAGTGAGCAAGCGAGAGAGAAAGAGAGAGAGAGAGAGAGAGAGAGAAATGAGAACAGATTCCTCCACCTGGTAGTTATCCCTCAAATGCCTGAATGGCCAAGACTGAGCTGCGCTGAAACTGGAAGATGGGAACTCAATCCTTGTTTCCCACCAAACTGAGCCACCATCACTGCCTTCCAGGACCCACACTAGCAGGAATTTGGCTTCAGAAGTTGTTTTAGGTTCTCTGACATTGGCATCTAAACCATTGGGCAGGCTAAATGCCTTTCCAGAACCGAATATTTGAGTTGCATCCTGGGTAGCACTGGTCTAAACTTTAAATTCTTGCTGCTTGAACAGAACATGACAGAGTTTTACTTTTTTTCTTTCAAGCTAAAAGGTAAGGAGTCCAATGAAAAGCACAGACTAGTTGCAAGTGCTGCCATTAAAGCTAGAG